AGGGAGGAGAGATGGGGGTTCTGGACCCTCTGCCGAGAGGGGCGAGGCGGGCGGAGGCAGAAAGGAGGGCGGACCCAGGCCCCTCACGACACACCGTCCCGGGCGGGCGGAGCAGGTGAAGAGGCCAAGTTCAGGGCTGGGACGAAGGCACGCTCCCCGGCCCACACCCGGACACTCGTCCCCGCAACCGTCACGTCCTCCCGACCCGAGCTCTGCCTCTTCGCCCGGAAAAAGGCGCTCCCGCTCCGGAGACCCTCACCCAGAGCTGGTCGCCGCCTCGCCGCACGTCCCGGCCGCCTCGGGAGCCACAGGTGAGGGAAGGGGGAAAGGGGAGGGCAGACAGGGAAGGAGCCCAACTCGGTGAAGCCGTGCCGCTGCCGCCGCCGCGATACCGAGTCTCAGACCGTCCGCCCGACCCCACGGCCGCACGTCGCCGTGAGTCGCACGCGAGGCGGTGGGACCCAATGAGACCGCATCTTGAGCGCAGCCGCAATGGCGAAAACCGGAAGCTGCTTCTCCGACCGCCTAGGACCGGAGTGCATCCTGGGATTTGTGGTTCAGCCTGGGGCTCGATGAAAGCGGTGCTGCGCGTCCGGGGAACGAGAGGAACCGCTCCGCTGGGGCTCACATAAATTCCCTTGGCTGTTTTCCCTCCCACCGATAAGGAAAGCAGTTTAGGTCAGAAGAAGTGGAGGCCTTCCTAGCTCGTGGACGCTTTTCCCAGTCTCTGTGGATACGGGTTTCACAGCTTGAGCAGAAGCCAAAATGTAGGGGTTTTGACTAGATTAGGGGTGTCGAACTCAATCAGAGAAGGGGCCAAAATCTAAAATCCAGCCCGTGTGTTTCTGCCAGTGGCCAATGTATTGTTAGACGGCGTCTGTGAAAGCTTCGGGAATAAGTCCGAAAGCATTAGCCGAATCTTTCCCAAAACAAAAGCGTTTGCCTGTTATTGCCTTCTAAGGTATTATGATTTATGTCCTACTACTTCTAAAAATCAACGTGAGCCACTCACTCTTAAATACAATTCAGAACGATTTTTTAAATGTTTTTCATGTATAGTAGATCAGGACCTGTTTCAACATTAAATACTGTGCCTGTTTACCCAAGATGAGTCATTTTTTTTTCTACATGTGAGCTTTTAATTGAGCTCTAACTTAGAAAACAAGAGCAGGTTTGGTTACATAGTTATTCTGTGAAAAAGGGAAGTACGGTATAGGAGCTGGCATAGAGAAATGTTTTCTTCACATTCAGTTCTAAGAGGAATTTATCATACTCTGAAGAGGTCATTATCTTAATTGTCAAAACTCTTGTTATTGACTAAATGAAATCCATAGCTTTCAAGAACATCTATGCCCATGGCTTGTGCTTCCATTGGACCACAGCAAGAGAAAACAAAGGATGCCCGAAGAAACTTCACAGAAAAGCTTCCTATCAGTTTAAGACCTTGAGTCTGACATATGCGGAAAAAATAAAAATGGAGAACTCTTCAACCTGGAAATGTAAATTCTAAAAAGTTATTAAACTTACTAAAATCACAAAAAAACATGAGCAATGTGGTATTAACAGATATTTGAGAGCTAAAGGCCACCCAGATGAGTTTGGAAGATAAAATTAGTATAAATAAAATTATAGAACTAAATTTAAAGGAACTAATTCCCTTCAAGTAGTAGTTTATGTTGAAAATATTACTTATGTTTTTTAATTTTCATAATTTGTAAAGACATAACAATAACATCATCTATTTTCCTAGGTAAAAACAAAGTTTTGAGATTGAAATCAAGGAAGACATATACCTCCACAATAATCAGAAACAGAATACGGTGTCTTTGAATAGAAAATCTGACCCAGTATGCAAACTCACATAGGGCAAAAAAGAAAACAAGAACCTGAGGCTTAATAAGAGGTCTATTAAAGATGACAGAACTATATGAAAAAGACAATTAAGAAAGAGGTCATTTGGGGATTTCGAATCTTTTCTGCATAGTTCTCTCAGTCTTGCTTTGACAAAATAATGCACTTTACTCAAAGAGCTTCCTCTGGAACACTCCTTTGTGTGCTACAACATGTGAGAATGAGCCTTAATATTTCCCATCAAGATTTTACCTATCATTCTCTGTCACCTGGACCCCAACCCCTTTTCAGCTAATGAGAATTTTGCCACCATCCCTAACCTGAGGGACAATCCCACGTCTATGGCTTCCTTCACCATATCCCATACCTAGATGCCACCATTACATGTTCCAAAGCAGATTTTTTTTTCAGGCTTCTCTCAGCTACTAATCTTTATAGGCTTTCTTCTGGCTAAAACCAAAGGGAATTCAGTAAAATTTTATTCCTCCAGTGTCATTTGAGGATCCATTTTTATGATGTCACACTTCTCCACAGGAGTGGAGCACCTTGGTGCTACATCTTCTGCAGCACCAAGGGAAAAGTTTCTTTCACCCTGCTCCCCATACAAGCCACCAGTGACCCAACAGTGCTCTGTGGCACAGCTAGACTGATGTAGTCACCTGCACAATTACCAGATGTTGACAAGGCGACCGCATCACTGGGTGAGTAACATTCATAATCCAGTTGCAGATATCCCAGAAGGAGACTTCAGCAGCAGTATGATATGTTGCTGAAATGATGATATTCGGCTGGGTCTAGGGGCAGACTTATCCTCCATTGTGATATGCAAGCCATTAGCCAATGAGAATTGGGAGATGTATCTAAAACAGCAATTGTCAACAGGTATGCCACAAGTATTATTAAAACCTGCAATACCTGACTACTTAGTCAGGGGCAAGTTATTTGGAGCAAAAAGGATAGGTAATTACATCATTGTTATTTTGTAAATCAATCAAAATTATACCTATTTTTTGTTAGATTGGCAAAAAATGGGGGGGGGGGGCGGCTGCAAAATTTTAGTAATTAATTTATATGTGCCAGGAGACGAAAAAGGTTGAAAATTGCTGATCTAAAGCAACAAGCAAATGGAATTGAAGCTTTCAAATTCTTAAAGGTAAAAAAAAAAAAAAAAAAAAAAAAAAAATCCTAGACCTGCCAAAACTGGTTTGGCTCAATGGATAGAGCGTCGGCTTGGGGACTGAAAGGTCCCGGGTTCGATTCCGGTCAAGGGCATGTACCTTGGTTGCGGGCATATCCCAGTAGGGGGTGTGCAAGAGGCAGCTGATCGATGACTCTCTCTCATCGATGTTTCTAACTCTCTATCTCTCCCTTCCTCTCTGTACAAAATCAATAAAATATATTTTAAAAAATTTTTAAAAAAATCCTAGACCCCATTGTGAATTTAACTTGAGATCGTAACTAGTTTTAGTTGCTTCTCCCTTAATGAAAAAAAAAAAAGATTTCATTTATTATTTTTAACAAAATTACTATTTTAAGAAGAAAAAAACCCAAATTATTTGGCTAGTGAAAACCAAAATTACTAATCTTCTTTGTGCTGTGTCTACAACTTTTCCAAAAAAAATTACAAAGGGAAATTAACAGCTTCATAATTACAAAATACTTAAAACTAGCCTAAAGGACAAAATGAAAATGGACCAGAAAAGAGCAAGAACTGTCAAATCAGTCTCTGTGATTGTCTTCTATGTATGTTGTAGTAGAGGAAAACTTCCTTCCACCCTCTTAGAGTCTGAAGCTAGCCTAAGAATTAAGCTGACATAAGACAGATTAATAGGAGAAAAACTTGTAAGTTTATTTAACATTTTTATCTACACGCAGGGGTCTTTAAAAGGAAAATGAAGACCCGAAGAAGCAGTTAGTCTCAACAGCTTATAAGCCTTTTCACAAAATGAATGGAAAATTGTGGGGATGTGACAAAGCAAAAGGACTTGGATTAAGGACAGTAAACTATAGGACAATGACTAGGAAGTATACAGGAGGAACTAATGAGAGCTTGAGGGTACTTTATTCTTTTATTTATAATTTTTAATTTTTATTGACTTTATTTATTTTTTAAACTCTTTATTGTTGAGAGTATTACAGATGTGTCCCTTTTTCTCCCATTGCCCCCCTCCACCCAGTTCCCACTCTGCCTCAGGCCTTCCCCCATGGTCTGTGTCCATAGGAAATGCATATCTATTGATATAAAAGCCTAAGCGACCTGCCAACAGGCTGACCTTTTGACTGGCTGACCAGTAACTATGATGCGCATTGACCACCAGGGGGCAGGCGCTCAATGCAAGAGCTGACGAGCTGCAGTGACTTGGCAGCTGTGGTTCTTGGGTGACCCACTCAGAATCAGAGAGGAGGGAGCCTAATTCTAGGGTGAGTCACCTGAGAACCTCCCTCTTGCAATCTGGGACCCCTCAGGGGATGTTGTAGAGCCAGTTTTGGCCTGATCTCCACAGGCCAAGCCAAGGGACCCCACTCAAATCTGTGCACTAGGCCTCTAATCTATACATATAAAAGTCTAAGCGACCATCCAACCATTCAACTGGTAGTTATGACACACACTGACTACCAGGGGGCAAATGCTCAACACACAGGCATGGAAATATGGAACAGACTGATAAATCTCAGAGGGAAGAAGAGAGTAGGGAGGGCAGGAAGAGATTAACCAAAGACCTTACATGCATACTAAAGGCCCAGTGCACAGATTTGTGCACTGGTGGGGTACCTTGGCCTGGCCTGAGGGGATCAGGCCAAAACCAGTGGTCCAACATCCCCCTAGGGGTCCCAGATTGCAATAGTGTGCAGGCCAGGGGTCTCTAGTATGCATATAAAATCTTTGGTTAATCTCTTCCTGTCCCTCTCCCCACAACCCTCTGAGTTTCCTCAATATGTTCCATGCTTCCATGCCTCTGACTCCATTTTATTCACCAGTTTATTTTGTTCATTAGATTTCTTCTTCATTTTTTATTTTTAAATTCAATTGTTGATAGATATGTATTTGTTACCAATTTATTGTTCATATTTTTTTATTTCTTCTTCTCCTTCTCCTTCATCTTCTTCTTTTTTTTGCATTTCAATCCCTTTATTGAAAAGTATATCAATGCATTTCAATAATTTTATTGAAATGTATATCCTTAGTACTAAAACATAATAGTAGTTGGTTAGGTTACCTCTGCAAACTCAGAATTACATGGATGTAATTAAAATATTGAAATCTATCAGCCTTTTGGGAAAACTGAAAAATTATCTACAAAGCATACTCTTTACAAAAGTATGAGATATACTGTGATTCTTTGGTTTATTTTCCAGTGCATATTTATCCATAACATGATGTCAACATTGGGCACAATCATCTTGGATGGACTCAGGCTACACATTGCACCGACTGGTTTCTAACACTTTTAACACTGTAGATTTCTTATATTCACTGACTTACTAGCAAGTGCTGAACACTATCTCAGCGACCTCATAATTATAAAGTTGAGTATTTACTTAAGACCTTCTGTTGGCATAGTAGGGAAAAATTAGTGAAAGTATATTCCCTTCATTTTAAACAGAATTGTAAATTGAAGCAATGGCAGTTTTATAAAAACTGTCCTTAGTAAAAACTTCTGGAGTGTTCAATCAAGTTTTCAGAGTGATATTAATTTGAGTCACTAGTACAATAAAACGAATTTTCTCAATGTGACTATATTGAAGCAGATTTTGCATAAAAACTTTTTTCCCTGGACACAAACATTACCTGTCTTATAGTAAAAATGTTAAAAGATAATACTCCAATATTAACAGGTTTGTAGTTTTGCTTTATATAAAATGTGAATGTAATTCCCATGTAGCAATCAAGTCCACATCTCTGGATAATCTATTAATTGCATTGTGGGTGTTAAGAAACCATATTTACTGTCTAAAATAGTGACCCTTATAATGTCTTAAAAGTTCATTTGTGAAATATTGGCTTTGATGTAAACCCCATAATTTAAAATTTAAGTTAAGTAGGTTACCATTTTTAATAACTCCTAAATATACTGACCCAATATAAAAAGTTGGATCAATGTTAGAAATGAAGATTCACAGATTACCTTCCCAGACTTTTCTTTAACATTTCACATTATGGACTTGGCTTTGTTTGTATGCCTCAGCTGAATTCAAATTTAAGCATGATTCCACTGTGGCATAATGTTAATTAGGCAGTTTTCCCAAATCTGAGAACATCAATACTAATCCAGTTATGATGTTTTGAGAATTTACAGCTTAAATCCACTATAACAGTATGGAATCCATCCTTCAGAATTGTGGTGAAAGGCTTCAGAGAAGTTTTTGTTGCTGGAATAACCCAATTAAGGAACCATTTCAGGAATTGTTGGAAGGTGGGTTATTCTGTAGTAACTATGCTTCAATTGCCATGCAGTTTGCCCAGAAACAATCCATTTCAACTTCTGAACATTTGGTTTGGAGCACTTGTTTGATGAATATTCAGTTAAACACTTGGATACGAGTTCTTGCCAGAAGGTCAAATCTCTGCCATTTATCTTGGAATGTCTCTGAAGACATTCTACGACTTCTGTTAACTCTACACACTTCTGTGCTTGGATCTCCAGTGCAATGATAGGCAATGCCAACACAGAAGGCCTTGTTTTAGAAAATAGGATCCTGCAGTGGCATGCCTTAAGTTGAGCTTCTAATCTTTCAAAATTAAGGCTAATCCTTCTTTCAAATGGTAAATTCTCTTGAATGAGTGAATTATAGAGTAGCAGAAATTGAAAAGCAGTAGAAGCTTTCACTTTCCAGCACACTTTCTCCAAGACAATCTTCTCCATCCTCATCAGGTCTGAAACTGTGAACCTGTACTGGCTTATTCGTATCAAGTCACTTGCCAATGGGACATTCCTTTCCTCTTCTATTGATTTTACTGCCAGGTAGAAGCAGCTTAGTCCAACACACCCAAGGTGCTTGGATTGTACCTTCATTTTGGACAGGAATGTGTCCAGTAAATTCACAGCTAGAGAAAATGTCTCTGTGTCAAAGCCGAAGAACTGAGTTAGACTAAGGAGATCCTTCACTTCAAAGTCCCTTAGTCTTGCAGTCAGTCATCCTGAGGCCTTTTCATAAGTGGATTCAATGAGTCTCAGGCCACAGACCTTTGGCTGGCATTTCGGCTCCTGTTCCAACAGGCGTTCAGCTGGTTTAGCAGTTTCTGAGTGTCAGTTGTTGTGAGGACCTCTATCATCTTGATCGGGAATGAGGCTCCTTCGCTATAATCTCTCCTCCCCCGGGCCTGCCCGCACCTCCGCCCACAATGTCAGATCTGACAAGTCCTAGAGGCAAGGGGACTCGCGGGCAAGAGGGGACCAGCTGGGGGAGGAGGAGCTGTCCTGGGGTGGAGGTCTCCGCAGCGCTGGCGAGAGGACACTGCCCTTTTCAGGGTCAGCTCGGACCCGAAGGGCCATCTTCCTCTTCTTAAAGAATACCTTTCAACATTTCATGTAACACTGGTTTGGTGGTGAACTCCTTTAACTTTTTCTTATTTGTGAAGCTTTTTATCTGAACCTCAATTATAAGTGAGAGCTTTGCTGGGTAGAGTAATCTTGATTGTAGGTCCTTACTATTCATCACTTTGAATATTTTCTGTCACTCCCTTCTGGCCTGCAAAGTTTCTGTTAAGAAATCAGCTGGCAGTCATATAGGTGTTCCTTTGCAGATAACTAACTGCTTTCCTCTTGCTGCTTTTAAGATTCTTTTTGTCTTTAGCCCTTGGAATTTTAATTATGATGTTTGTTTGTGTGGTCCTCTTTAAATTCCTCTTGTTTGGGACTCCCTGTGCTTCCTGAACTTGTAAGTATATTTCTTTCACCAGGTAGGGGAAGTTTTCTTTATTATTTCTTCAAGTAGGTTTTCAATATTTTGCTCTCTGTCTTCTTCTGTAACTACCATAATATGAATGTTGGTATGCTTGAAGTTGTCCCAGAGGCTCCTTACACTATCTTCAACTTTTTGAATTCATTTTTCTTTTTGCTCTTGCTTCCTCATATTCCAAATCATTTATTTGATTCTCAGACTCCTCTACTCTACTGTTGAATCCCTGTAAATTATCCTTTATTTCAATTAGTATATGCTTAATTTCTGACAGATCCTTTTTTATTTCTCTGATATTCTCACTAAGATCCTTAAAAGTCTCATGAAGACCCTTGAGTAACCTTATAACCATGGTTTTGAACTCTGTATCCAATAGTTTGCTTGCTTCCACGTCTTTCATTTGTGACATGATTCTTTGTCTCCTCATTTTGACTGCTGCCCTGTGTTTGTTTCTATGTATTAAGTAGAGCTATTAGGTCTCCTATAATTGGTAGAGCGGCCTTGTGTAGTAGGTGTTGTAGGGCCTAGTGGTTTAGCCTCCCCAGTCACCTGAGTTTGGCACTTTAGATGTGCCCTTGTGTGGGTTGTGAGTACAGTCTTGAAGTTGAGCCTTGATTGCTGTTATCATTGGGAGTAGTTGATCTCCAGGCCAATTGGCTAGGGGGACCAGTTGGACTACAGTGAGAGAGTTTCTGTGCAGGAAACACCCCTATGGAACAGGACTTGCTTCAGTGAGGCTTTAGTACTCACTGAGTCTTCTCTTTGAGTGTGTTGCTTGTGGATGTGTAGAGTTATAACCTGGTGTGGTCTGAAGCTGTCCACCAGGTGCACCGGCTCTAGAGCCTCCAGGGAGGTTCAAAGTCAGCCACTATCTGGGGCCATCTGGCAGGAGCTACAGAGGGATCTTTAGGTGATTGCTCTCTGCTATTTGTATTGGGCTTGGAGGTGCCTAGGTGAGGCCCAGTTGTGAAGCAAGACAGACTGGTACTAGTGCTGGTTCTTGGGTCTTTTATTGATAGGTTTGGGGCATGTTGTCACCAGCTGCCACTTGTTTGGGAGATTTTAGGAAAGTCTGAAGCCTGAGCCAAGACACGCCATTCATATGGAAAAGCTGCTGCAAACAGTTTGGGTAGGGCTGCAAATTGGATGGGGTGGGAGCTCAGAGAATCACCAGGGAGGAGCAGCAAACAGTGTACTCCAGGCTGATGGAGACTTGGATATGGCTGTCAGTTAGCCCTGCCATTGGGGCAGTCCCAGAACAGGAAAAATGACCCCTGAGAGCACCCCCTTCTGGAATACAGCCACCCCGAGTTCCTGCCCTGTTGCCAGACAATCCAGTTCCTCCCAAAACGTGTCTGGGTCCCCCATTGTCACCTGGTGCAGAGAGTCCAAGTAAGTTTGTGCATGCCAGACCTTTAAATGGGATACATGGGTCTCCAGCAGCCTCTGGGTCCCTCAGCCACAATCCCTACTGGTTTTTATAGCCCATAGTTGTGGGGACTTCTCTTTCCAGCTCTGGAATCCTGGGCTGGGGGTTTGGGGTGGAATGGGCATCCCTTGCTCCTCACAAATAGCCTCTGCAGAGACAATCTCCCTCCCAATTAAAAAATGGCACACATGGGTGTCAGACCAGCCCATTATGCTCCTCTGCCCCTCCTACCAGTCTCGATGTGCTTTCTTCTATACTTCTCTAGTTGTAGGACTGCCATTAAGCCAGCTTCCAGGTGGTTCTGAATAATAGTTTTTTGTATTTTAGTTGTAATTTTGGTGTGGTTGTGGGAGTCGGCCAGTACAGGTGGTTACCTATGCTGCCATTTTTGTTCTCTCTTCTATTTTTATTGATTTTTAGAGAGATAGAGGAAGGAAGAGAAAGGGAAACATCAATTTGTTGTTCCACTTATTTATGCATTCATTGGTTGATTCTTGTATGTGCCCTGACCATGGATTGACTCACTATCTGGCATATCTGGGCAATGCTCTAACTAACTGAGCTACCTGGCTAGAGGCAGGGCCATGACTATTTTTAATAAGTTTCTTTGTACAGGTTCATTTGGCATCAACTTCAGCCTCTTGTGATAATGTTAATAGAAAAACTTCCAAACCTGTAGAGAATTTTTATAAATTTGTTTCAGTCAAGCAGAATATACAAGAGGATCTTGAGAGCAAGATGTCAAGGGACTGAGCAAAGTGCTTCAGATAATGAAATTTTTAGTTTCTTATATGCATTTGGAATTAAGAAAGGAACATAAATAAGATTATGTGAAGGCAGGGGGGAAAAGCTAGATGGGGTACTGTAACAATAATTACAGTATTGTTAATTAGAGATCGTGTGCTCTATTGAAGGTAGTCATCCTTCGAGGGGTCTGAAAAAAGATTACTTAGCATTTCAAAGGTGTGTTAATCTAGATGCACAATTATAGTGGAAAGGGCTTACATAAGGCAAAAATAAACTTTTTAATAAAGAAGTTATATGCCTAGGGTGTGACTACCTACCATGGCCTTCCCAGATAGAAATTTATATTCAGATTACCCGGTGAGTTTATTTCAGTTAAACTTATTATAGGGCCCTTTTCATCCACAATAAGAATGTTCTTCTGAGGTGATGGATGTGTTGAATGACTAGAAATAAATGATAAGGATTTATTCAAGGGTCTTAGGTTTTACAAACCAGAAACACAGTTAAGCAAAAGCCCAGAAGTATTCCAAACAAGAAAGGAAGGTTAAGAGTTCTAAAAAAAAAAAAAAAAAAAAAAAAAAATTATTGATTTTTTCACAGAGATGAAGGGGAAGGATAGAGAGTTAGAAACAACATCCATCAGCTGCCTCCTGCACACTCCCTACTGGGTATGTGCCTGCAACCTCGTACATGCCCTTGACCGGAATCTAACCTGGGACCCTTCAGTCAACAGGCCGGCACTCTATCCACTGAGCCAAACTGGTTAGGGCAAAGGTTAAGAGTTGTTATAGTAAAAAGTTTATTCTTGATAATAACAAATGATTCTTTAGCCTTAGAATTGAAGCAGGAGAGTTATCAGCCAGATGTCAGTAGGTCTGAATGACGGATGTCAGTTGATCTGGAGGATGTCACTGGAAAGGGACCAGGCTTGGAGCAGGCCTGCCTCTGGCTGGCCGGTGGTGTGTGGGTTCTTGATTTCCTGAAGGAAAGATTTCATAACACAAGTCCAGGTGATTTTGAGGGTATGTTTATTAAAGCTGGGGACAATGAAACAGAGGAAGAAGTTAGGGTAGAAGAAGCAATAGGAGAGAACCAAGGCAATGCTCTGCTTTGGCTCTCAAGAAACATTATAGGAAAAAAGTAAGCCATGGTGTGGAAGTCTAACAAGGACTTTAGAGAGAAAAGTAAATATGCCTGCCTGAGGGGGAAGAAAGGCATGGACATGCTCCAGAGATAGGTGGGTCTTTGTCTTAAAGGTTCTTATCTGTTTTATAAAGGAAAGAATTTTAGGGGAGGTTCTCAGGGGAGGTCAATAGAATATTCATCAGCTTTATACTGATGCACCAAAATGAGATTTATTTCCTGACTTCATTCTTCTTTGGGTGTGGCTGACACCTTTGGCACAAATTGGATTTTTTTAAATTTGTCTCCCAGAATAGGGTGATTTATACTTTGGTTAGGAAGAAGTGTAAACCATTTTTTTTTTAAATGTTTTTATTGATTTTTGAGAAAGATTGATTTGTTGTTCCACTTATGTGTTTATTGGTTGATTCTTGTATGTATCTGGATCAGGGATCAAACCCACAGCCTTGGCATATCAGGACAATTCTCTAACTAACTGAACTACCTGGCCAGGGCCTCCATTTACTTTTTTTTTTTTTAATATATATATTTATATATTTTCTTTTAAAATATATATATTTTTATTGATTTCAGAGAGGAAGGAAGAGGGGGAGAGAGAGATAGAAACATCAATAATGAGAGAGAATCATTGATTGGCTGCCTCCTGGGGATCCTTAAGTCCGCATGCTGACGCTCTGTTCACCGAGCCAAACCAACTAGGACTGGGTGGAATTTTTAGGGAGTAAATGAAATGGAAAGAAGAAGAAGTTTAAGAAAGGGTGAACTAGAAGGTCTTGCCATGATCCAGGACAGAAATAAAGTCTGAACCAGTCATGACACTAAGCAGGGACAGGCCTTAGAAAAGCATGGATTGAAAAACTTCCAGTATTTGGAGCCATCTCCCCCACGAAGACCACTTTTTTGGGGTGCTCCCACAGTCCCCTATGCCCTTGTGGCATGAAGGTGGTCAGCTTCCCCAGAGCTCCCAAGAGGCGGAATCACACATGATTCACCACCTGTCCCTGATCCCTGTGCACAGCACAGGGCAGGGCCAGGGGCTCCCAGGTGGATGGATAAGTGAGAACAAGTGCTGCACTCACCTCTTCCTTCCTAGCTCCTGTTAAGGAATCAAAAAAGATGATGCCCAAAACAGCCCTCCCTGCAGTCAAGAAGCTGATGACAGTCTACGGTGGGCCCAGCAAAGCCAAGTAAGGTGCAGGGTGGGGTTGGGGGAAGGATGAGGGTGCAGAGGAAATGCTGTGCCTGTCACCCCCCTGGGTCTGATGGGGATATGTTGCAGGCCACCTGGTGGAGATGGTCAGAAGCGCCCCTCCCGAGACTTGGGTAAGTCTGGCTGCCTCTCTCAGTTGGGTGACGGATGGGGAGAGACTTGGCGTCTTACTACGTCTGGACTCCTGACTTTCTGCTCTCATAGGCTCCAGAGTCAGCCTCTTGGGTGGGGGTCCAGTCCACACTGGCAGAAAGCGATCCAGAACTCAGGCTACCCGGCAACGACCAGCAAACACTCAGGTGAGAGGCACGCAATATGGTGGAGTGGGAGGCTGAGCAGTCTGCTTCCCAGGGGTAGGGCATGTGTGGGTGAAGGATCCCAGGCCGAGGAGAACCTTCAGCTGAGACCTTATCCCCGTCTCCACAGGAGGAAGAGCGGAAAAGCCGAGCAAAGGCCCCTCCCATGAATAAAACTGCTACTCTGGGCAAGACACTCACCCCAAAGGTCCCTCCCGTGAATAAAACTGTTACTCTGGGCAAGACACTCACCCCAAAGGCCCCTCCCGTGAATAAAACTGCTACTCTGGGCAAGACACTCACCCCAAAGGCCCCTCCCGTGAGTAAAACTGTTACTCTGGGCAAGACACTCACCCTGCCTCCACGCAAGGCCCCCAGTCCAGAAGGGGTCTTTTCTTTGGATGAAGCCCCTGCTCAAGGTGTCTCTCCTGAAGATGAAGCCCTTTCCTCAAAGCTAGTTTCTTCTGGGGTCGAGGCCTTGTCCCTAGAAAAGGCCTTGACCTTTGAGCAGATGTTCTCTGAAGAGACCTCTTCTGGGGACAACACTCAGCCCCAGCCCTTTCCGGACTCAGCCCCGTCCAAGTCCAAGACCAAGGGCAAGTCTTCCTTGGTCCACAAGCCAGAGGAACACCCCCTTGATAAGAGGGACAGCTCTGCACTCCAATTAGAGGCTACGTCCGGGCCCTTTGAGAATCTGGTCCAACCCTGGGAAGAGCCCACCACCCTCCAGGAGAAGACTCCTGCGAAGGATGAAACGACCCCCAAAGAGGAGGCACCCCCCGAAAAGGTAGCCCTTGCTCAAAAGCATCCACACCCTACCAAGCTGACTCCAGGCCCTCAAGGAACTCCCACCCTTCCTTCACAGGTCCCACAAAATCCCACGGTCAGCAAAGATGACAAAGAGGAGGTCACAAAGCTACAGGAGGAGGTGGAGTCTTTAAGGAAGGCCCTGGAGCTGATGGGGGAGCAGCTGGAGTAAGTCGGGGAGGATTCAGAGGGTGTGGGAAGGAGAAGGGCAGGACTGACCCACCCCTTTCCCTCATTCTCTTGTCTGCAGAAGTAAGCTAATGGACATCTGGGAGGAACTGAAGAGCGAGAGGGAGAGGCACCAGCTGCTGGAGGTGAGTGCTGTGCGAATCCCTGAATCCCAGCAGGAAGAGAGCTGGTGGCAGGCCCTCCCCTTACACCATCTCCCCACCAGGTTCAGATGAACCTGAGGACCAAGGAATCCCTGACCCCAATCTCCAGCCCCACTCAGCCGCTGTAAGGTGGAGCCTGGAGCGAAGTCTGCCTCCGGGCATTGACGTCTTCGCACACAACTTTGGGATAGCCAAGAAAATAAACTTTACTCCATTTACTCTTATGTTTCCCATCTCTATATATAAAAGCTTAAGTGATTGAATGACTGGTTGCTATGATGCACACTGACCACCAAGGGGAAGATGCATGAATTTGTGCACTGGGCCTCTAGTTTATTCTTAAGTGACCTTGGTTAAGGAAGGTAGGATTTTTCAGTTCACTAGATGGCTGTAACTGCTGGCCTTTTATCTGTCTCAGTTTCCCTAATCCACTTTTTCTGATTTACTAGCCTGTCTCAGGTGGACTCCAGGAAGTCTACTCATGGTCATTGGGTGGTCTGGATACATGGACATTCTTTCTTTCTAATTTTTCTTCCTTCCTTCCTTCCTTCCTTCCTTCCTTCCTTCCTTCCTTCCTTCCTTCCTTCCTTCCTTCCTTCCTTCCTTCCTTCCTTCTTATTTAATTCTTTATTGTTTAAAGTATAACGTATGTCTCCTTTTCCCCCCAGAGACCTCTTCCCTCCCTCCCCCCAGTCATTCCCACCTTTGGTTGATCTCTCACCCACCTCCCCACCTTCTCTCTGAATGTTGTGGGTTTGATGCCAGTTCAGGGCATATACAAGAACAACAACCAATGAATGCATAAATAAGTGGAACAACAATTCTATGTTTCTCTCTCTCCTTTCCTTGGTCTCTAAAATCAGTTGTTGTTTTTTTAAATCGTCAAAATGAATAAGGTTGAGATTAGCCAGGGAAAGAAGAAAACAATGGATGACTGCTTTTATTTTATTTTATTTTTTTAATATATTTTATTGATTTTTTACAGAGAGGAAGGGAGAGAGATAGAGAGCTAGAAAAGCCGATGAGAGAGAAACATCCACCAGCTGCCTCTTGCACACCCCCCATTGGGAATGTGCCTGCAACCAACGTACATGCCCTTGACCGGAATCGAACCTGGGACCTTTCAGTCCACAGGCTCTGAGCCAAACTGGCTTCAGTGGATGACTGCTTTTAATTTCAGCTTTTTAGTGAATTGCTTACTGAGACTGAACAAAATCTTTGCTGGTTACATGAGAGACCCAATTCTTTTTAACTCCAAAATAGGTATGGCACTTGCTTTCTTTCTTTTCTTTCTTTTTTTAAAATATATTTTATTGATTTTTTACAGAGAGGAAAGGAGATGGATAGAGAATTAGAAATATTGATAAGAGAGAATCATCAATCAGCTGCCTCTTGCACACCTCCTGCTGGGTATGGGCCTGCAACCCAGGTACATGCCCTTGACCGGAATCGAACCTGGGACCTTTCAGTCAGCAGGCTGACGCTCTATCCACTGAGCCAAACCGGTTTCGGCTGGCACTTGCTTTCCCAGCTGGAATAGCCAATGGGTGACAATGGTTCTTGCAGATTCTCGAATTCGAGTGGTGAGATGGGCTCCTCACAGATCCAGTACGGTACCATGTTTCCCCAAAAATAAGACCTACTTACAGGTTTCCTTCTGGGTGAAATATAAGGCATCCCCCGAAAATAAGGCCCCTCTAGGCTCTGTCTCAGAATGCTATTGCTAAACATGAGAGATTTGGTCCACTGATTCTGAAAGAAATGGAGTCACAAGAAATTCACCAGGAAATTGAGGAATTGGATTATTATGATGATGTTCCAGAAGATGATGACATGATTGTCATTGAATAAATGAGTAAATTCTAGATACTGTAGAATTCACAGTTTGTCTGGTTTATGTTGACAACTACCGTACTACTGTACCGTATACAGGTAATAAATTTCCTTTATTTTCATTTAACAATAAATATGTACCGTATTCTTCTTCATGGAAAAATAAGACATCCCCTGAAAATAAGACCTAGCGCATCTTTGGGAGCAAAAATTAATATAAGACACTGTCTTATTTTCGGGGAAACAGGGTAGCACACTGAAAGCTGAAGAGCTGGCAGAAGGGAGAGTTCTTCAAGAAGGGCAAATGCCCGGGGAGAAGGGTCTGCCTTGGAAAGCATCATAGTTCTGGTGGCATCCAGGAAATTCTCACTGGCCCTTGCTCACCTTGATTCTTAGGTGAGTAAGCATTTTTGTGGGGTTCATAGTGAAAAATTTCCTCCAGGGCATGAAACAATCCTATAGGGTATAGACAGAAGGTAACCTCACAGGGTCATCTGATCATAAATTCCTGACAAGGCAGGACAGGGTGTGTAGTCATCTCCCACACCTATAAGTGGCTTAGGAAAGGCTTATCTTTGCCTTTAGCAAGCCCTGTCCATTGTTTCTGTGCATCTAGGTTAATATACCTTTGAAATACATCCTTTCAGTCCCCTTCTAAAGCGTGACCACATCTAGAGAACACATAATCTTCTTGGCTATCTTGTAATTGGATCCCTGCCTTGCTTTCTCACTCCTTCATGTAATCGTCCTTATGTTCCCTCCTTAATTTCAAATGCATAGAAAAGCTACAAACTTATTTCTTGGAAGATTTATGTTTGTCTGTGGAGATCTTGTTTCTAGACATAGCCTCTTGTGGCCCAAGTAAATTATTATAAAAATTCTCAACAAGCTAGGATGTACTTAGGTTTGACAAGGGATATTCACTGCATTTGAGTCATATGGAGTTATGCACAAAGGCTGATTTTTCCTAGAACTTTGTTGAGACCCTACAGATCTCACAGAAAAATTATGCCTTTGAGCCGAAGAACAGTCAGTCTCCCATTAATACTAAGATGGCGAAGATAGGGACCTTTGATACTTCTAAATATTTTGTGTGCACAATTAGAAAAAGCTTGCTATAAAATGAATCAACCTATGATATCAGCACAATTCTTTTAAGGTATTAACAACAGCTGTTCTTATTTTAAAGGGGGGAGGTAATTTGAAACTGGACTTGTTAAGGACAGATATAAATTGTAAATGTCTTCAAAACAAAATTTAGATCCAACTAATCTTATACTATAAACTAGTGAGTTTCTTCCAAAACAATTTTAATACAACTATTCATGGCTAGAATGTCTGCATCTACCTATATGTGTCTATCCATATTTTAATGTGCCCTAGCTGGTTTGGCTCAGTGGATAGAGTATCCACCTGTGGACTAAAGGAACCCGGGTTCGGTTCCAGTCAAGGGCACATGCCCGGGTTGTGGGCTCGGTCCCCAGTGCAGGGTGTGCTGGAGGCAGCTGATCAATGATTTTCTCTCAGCATTGATGTTTCTATCCCCTCTCTCCCTTTTCCTTCTTCTCTGAAATCAATAAAAATATATTTAAAAATAAATAAATGTGAAATAACTTTTTATCTTCAGATGGTATTATTAAAATTAATTTAAAATCAGGCCCTTGTAAGAATTTCTAAAACTCAGAAATAGAAACTAGCTGAAGTGCTTTTCAAGTTCACACGATCTAAGATTAATTCTTAGTAAGCAAAAGCTAGTTTAAGTTTGGTGGTTTAAGTAGAACAGACACCTCTTTCAAGTTGTTTATATAAATGTAATATTTATATTTTATCCAGATTTACAAAAATAAGTTTATATTAATAATTGACTTTGATGCCAAAACCGGTTTGGATCAGTGGATAGAGCATTGGCCTGCGGACTGAAGGGTCCCAGGTTTGATTCCTGTCAGGGGTATATATATATTGGTTGCGGGCACATCCACTGTGGGGGATGTGCAGGAGGCAGCTGACTGATGTTTCTCTCTCATTGATATTTCTAGCTCTCTATTCCTCTCCCTTCCTCTCTGTGAAAAATCAATAAAATATATTAAAAATAATTGACTTTGATGTCTGTGAAATATGTCTAGAGGTTATATAATGTCTTCATAAATCTGCTAAGATAAAGAATGCTAATTGTTTACATTTTAGTTTTCATTTAGAAATTGAAAGGTTTTTTTTTTCATTGTTTTCTTAGAAATTGCAGTTTTTATAATTAAAATCTCAATATATGTAAGAATGACTTTAGGATGTTCCAGAAGGGTCACTGGAATACATAAAAAGATTTGTTTTTATGCTAAATTGCAAGGAAGCTTTGTAAAATAGGTGACTGAAAAAATTTTATGTTTTTTGGGTAAACAGTGGTTGTAAATTAAATAAATATCCCATAGGAAACCTAGGATGGTAGTTTGGTTCCTCCAGTCTCCCTTGAAAATCCCATTTTTCAATTGTTTTGATGTTTAATTCATGAGGGACCACATATACCATGATGCTCCTGTGGAACTAAAAAATTCCTATCACCTAGTGAGGTCACAGATCATAGACCTCTTAACATTGTATCACAATGCATTACACAAATACTTATCATTGTGATACAGTTGCCTATAGTATTCAGTATAGTAACATGCTGAACAAGTTTTTGGCTTAGTAACTGTAGGGAAACAGAATTTGTCAGCCCAAAATATGTCTTTTTAGCTTAGAATTCTTTTATGTCAGTAGTTTTTGGTGTTTTTTGTTTGTTTGTTTGTTTGTTTTTAATTCTTTTAGGCCAGTTAGTTTGTTAATCCTCACCTGATGGTATTTTTCCATTGATTTTAGAGTGTGAAAGGGAGGGAGAGAGAGAGAGAAACATTGATACATCAAACAGAGCCACATCAATTGGTTGCCTCTTGCATGCACCCTAACAGGGGTCAGGGATCGAGCCTGCAAACAAGGTATGTGCCCTTGACCAGAATTGAATTCAAGACCCTTCAGTCCTCCAGCCAACACTCTATCCACTGAGCCAAACAGCTAGGACCAGGCCAGTTAATTTTAAGAAACAGCAGACATGTCTGCCTGGTGTGGTTCAGTGGTTGGGTGTCAACCTATGAACCAGGAGGTCTGGGTTTGATTCCTGGTCAGGAAACGGGCTCTGTTACAGGCTCAATCCCCAGCAGAGGACATGCAGGATGTAGCCGATCAGTGATTCTTCTCATTTATGCTTCTCTCTCTCTCTCTCTCTCTCTCTCTCTCTCTCTCTCTCTCTCTCTCTCTCTCTCTCTCTCTCTCTCTCTCTCTCCTCTCTCTCTCCTTTCCTCTCTGAAAGCAATAAAAATAGGTTAAAAAAGAAACTGCATACAAGCTCTAAAAACCA